GTAAACCTAGGTCTTGCCCTAAACCCAGTACACTGGTCGCTAACGTCTCAAGGCATGAATCGAGATCCTAAAGGCATGTCTCTTCGCCCACATCTAAACACTCGCGAAAATGGAAACCTCCCGAGTTAACGAATCAGACGATTTACACCAAAGAGTTAGATACGAGATGACAACTCGTATTCTTTCCTCTACATCTAAAACGAAACACGAATTTCATACTTAGAAAATATTTTCTTATTCAAAAGCATTCAAGTACATACCGCCCAGCGGTAGGGATTCAAAGCCACCAACGGCCAGTCCCGGAAAAAAACAACAAAATCGAAAAACAACTAACATCACATATTGAAGTCATCAAACGCGGACTGATCGACTTCACCCTCCGCATCCGAAATCCCAGGTCCAACTTCGACCGAATCCGGCGACACCACGATGGGATTCCATTGATCCCACATGCGCGCCTTAAGATCGAAGAGTTCGGGCTGCATATCTCTTTCCTGATCCAAGTGTCCCCACCGCACGGAGTATTCCTTAGCAAACGAATACCCTTCATTCTGAGTTAGGGATAACCCACGAACGATCCCGCAACATTCGCGATAATCACTGTGCGCCCGTTGACCAACTTCGGCATCCGAACAACCAGTTGCAAATCGCTCACGACGAGCCTTCATCTCTTCGGCAACCTCTCGTTCGCCCGCACGACGAGCACGACGAATCCTTTGGTCAGAAAGCTCCTTGGCACGGCGAGATCTAGCCGCACACTCATCCCTCTCGCGAGCAACCTCCCTCGCAACCACTTCTTCGGCTCGGTTGGCCTCGACCTCTGCCCGAAGACGAGCAACTTCTTTTTCAGCCATTTTCGCTCGAAACTCTGCAAGGCGAGCTTCAGCAGTACGGCTGTCTAGGGCCCGGCTCATGACAAGGAAACCCTACCAAAGGAAAGAATTAAGTGATATCATCCAATGATAAAACTGCTCGAAAAAGAAAATAATAAACACACATACCTCCTTAGCTTTCTCAGACCCCCTAATAAACTCCGGGACTTGACCATGGTCGATGTCCGGAAAATGGGAGGTCGATGACTTGCCCGCTTTCGTCCAGACGTCTTCTTCCGTTTGACTATCAAGAAAGTCCTTGAGAATATTGTCAGGAGAAGTCGCACGTTCAGAGTCGTCATCTTCTACAACCGGATTTTTATCCCTTTGAAAACTTGACTTACCATTCCTCTTCGAGGGGACATACGGAATAAACTCCCCGATAAACGGATCCTCTTCATAAATCGGAGAATCTGCAAAGAGTCAAGATCGGAAGAGGGCAACCGCTTGGCGGACGAGTTGCGGAGAAAAACTGCACCAGCCAACTTCACCACGTTTTAAAGAAGTGGTGATGTTTGAGAGATCCACAGGATACGGAGGCAAAGGGTTGGTCACTGCGGAAAAACAGAAACGAATAAAAAAAAAAACAAGAGGAAGAATATTCGTATGAACTCGATTCACATACCTTTCCGACCCCACACGGTCGTAAAAAGCGGAATGCAACCCTCCTCGACTGACGCACTGTCGATACGAATGTATAAGAAAATTTTCTTCCAAGAAGTAGAGAGCGTTGAGCAGCCCGTAACAATTTCGTCACGAGGGCATAGAGTGATCCTCAGCGATTTCCCTGTGGGCTTCAACAGACTCTCGAGATGATCGACGTTAAGGGTAATTCCCTGCTCATAACTCAGCGTCAGGAGACCAACGAGTTGCTTTAAACCAGGGGGAGTCAGCTGACTATTGGTGTCAAAATCGGTCACGACGGAATCAATGGCTAAAAGTATCCGCAAAAGTAAAAATAAAAATACGTTTTATAAAACTCGAAAGCGTTTTATAAAACTCGAGGAATCATTTTGTAAAACTCGAAGAATCGTTTTACGAAACTGCAAAAATACCGAAATAGCCGTAAAACGCGAACTAGTCACGACTAGTTCGCCTATTGGCGAACTAAGAGGCACTCGACTAGTTCGCCTATTGGCGAACTAAGCTAGCCCAGCTTAGTTTGCCAATAGGCGAACTAAGAGGCACTCGACTAGTTCGCCTATTGGCGAACTAAACCGGCCAGGCTTAGTTTGCCGATGGGCGAACTAGAGATTTCCCGGATATCCCGCGCCTTGATCTCCCGCATTCCCGACTCAAAACTTACGACACGGTCACGTTCTGAACCACGACCGAAACATCTCCCGTTCCATCTCGATCCAACTTATCGTTCGAGTTTTACGATAAAAACCGTAAAACTTCGCTTTCCAGATGAAGAACTCGAAGAAATTGTATAAAACGGTAACGGTTAAACGAAACACCAAACATTACCTAAACTATACGATTTATTCGAGATTTCTCGTTAAAATCATAAAAAACGCGTTTTTAATAAAAAAACGTTGAGTAAATCGTAAAAAACGTATTTTTAATAAAAAAGTCGAGTAAATCGTAAAACCTTACGATTAACTCGAGGAATTTATTAAAAACGATGTCAGATCAGGAAACGATCCCGTAAAAATCGGAGAACAGATTTATCGCGAAACGGTCCGGAAGGACCTAAAACGCGATAAAAACCCATCTCACGATCTTAACGGAATCTAACCTGAAGATTTGATAACGTTTTGACGGTTTATTCGCAGAAAGAAAAATAAATGTCAAGTTCGAAGATAAAAGGCAAGTTTAAAGATAAATAGAAGATTTCCGCGGAAGAAAAGGAAGGATCGAGAAAAATGAAAAATTCCCGATATAGTCAAATCTGGGCGAAATGGAAAGACCGGATGGCCAAGGCGAGGAGTATATAAATAAGAGGTCTAGGGCAGAAGCAAGGGACACGAAATCCAGAGCTCTCATCTGAGACTTTCACAACTTTTCTAGACTTAGAATTTTCCGCACTTAGAAACTTAGGCTTTTTCTCGACAAGTTCGGTTTCTATGACTGGCGCTCAATTACTAGAAAAACTCGCCCAGGCAGTTCGATCTCTGGTCCAGCTCTACCAACTAAACTACGTTCGACTTGATCCCCGAAAGGGGTACGTAGGCAGCCTTTCATAAGGTTCAGTCCGAAATCATTCAAACCTTTTTTCCTATCTTTTTCCGTTTTCGTTATCGAGCTGCGACTCGACTAGATCTAGGGTTTTATGTTTGTAACTCGCTGATGGCCCCTGCGGCCAAAGCCTTTGTAATTCCTTGTAATGATCGCAACGCTCTTACGCGAATCGGAAATAAGATCGACTTTCTTTATAAATTCGTTTTATTATGTTTTCCATATTTTTCCGCATTTATTTGGTTACTTGTTGTTGGCTTTCGCAGAGATCCGGTTCTTCTGGAAAATTAGGATTTTCCTAAGTTTCCTTATTTAACGGAAATCGACAAGTGTGAATTTCGGTTCCCACAGTTTGGGGCTAGAAGGAGGGGGGGGGGTCGGATTACTCTTACTCATAGCCGCAAAACGCTTGACAAAAACGATGTCTGGATGTATGAAAGACAAATTCACAACTCGCAAAAACGCTGATAAAACAACTCCAGCAGCGACTACTCGTACAGCCAACGCACACGCAAACGCTGTAGCACTCAACAAAATTGAAAACCTAATCGCGACTCTTCGCCACGGGAAGAGCGACAAAACAAGCTCACGATTTCTATCTCAGATCACTAAGGGCAACAATAAAATCTATCAAACCCCATAGTGTTTTTCTTATTTCCGAGTTGGACAAATCTCACGCGTTAAGCAAAAGACGTTTTCCGAAAACCTTTCGGAAAATAAAACTTGCTGTCCCAGAAACCGCGGAACAAACCGTAACTTACTCGCGAAATAAATCCTAGGATACTCGCGGAAAACCCTAGGCTGTTCGTGGAAAAATCCTTAGGTGACTCGCGGAAAAACCATAGGTTATTCGCGGCAAAACCCTAGGTTGTTCGCGGAAAAACCCTAGGTTACTCGCGGAGAAAGCCTTAGGTGACTCGCGGAAAAACCGTAGGTTATTCGCGGCAAAACCGTAGGTTGTTCGCGGAAAAACCCTGGGTTACTCACGGAGAAAGCCCTAGGTTACTCGCGGAGAAAGCCCTAGGTTACTCGCGGAAAAACCCTAGGTTATTCGCGACAAAACCCTAGGTTGCTCGCGGAAGAACCTTAGGCTACTCGCAGAATCGGGCAATACTATCCAGCGGAAAAGACGGTGATTTGGCCAAGCAACCTAGCTAGCCATCTTGGCGAGCTGACCGGCTTTCCACCTCGTCCCAGAGGCACTGACTTTTTCCCGAGTGTCCACACAATCCAACTCATAGCTATGGTGAGCCGGACCGTACTCTAAACAATAATCGCACTGCTTTTCGTTTCATCTCAATCAAAGTTTTCGTTGAGGTTTTACCATGAAAACAAGATAACTTGAC